TTTTTTAAAGGATTTTGCGTTCCAAGTTAATTTCTAGAATAATTCCGTGAGAGTACTATACTTCTCATCATTTTTTTAAACTTTCCTGAACTGCTTCGGACTTCCTTAAGTTGCCTCAATTTTCCTAACGGGCAACAATTGAAGTTCTCGAATTTTTTTTTAAATTATTTCATTTCTCTAATGTTAACAGAACTGCTCTGAGGTGCTCTGTTCGATCCTGAAGTTCTCGAAATTTTCCTAAAGTTTTCGCAGTTCACAGGAAGCTTGTTGTACTGCCCTGAATGTAATTGAACTATCCTCAAAATCATTAAACTTCCGTGAACTTCTGATCCTATGTGAAGGCGTCAATAGTTTTCTTAATATCTCTGTAGTTCTCTTAAAGTTTCCCGATAATTTTCTGAAACTAATTGAGCTAAACTCCTCCTTAAAATCCTCCTATTTATGAAGCTTACTATACTTCTTTGAAATGCTCCCGCATTTTGCTAATGCTCATGGCTTCGGATCTTCTCTTAAACTCCTCAGATTTCTATGAAGTTATCGAAATGTTTCTGGAAATGTTTGGAACTTCTTTAAGTTCTCGCAATTTTCTTTGAATCAAAACGAAAAAAATTATCATAGTTTTATGATTTTCACTGAACTGCTCAAGATTTTTGTGAAGTGGATAGAATTGCCCTTAAATTAACGACATTAAATCATTGCACTATGATCTATACTATCTTGATGTTATTAATCTGTCCTGAATTTATCAGTATTATTTTTATAAGAACCCGCAATTTTACTGAATTGAATTTCCTTAAGTTTTATAAACTTTTATAAACGCTCACGGAACTTAAATCACTAATTTTCCTTGAAGTTATCTGGACATCTAGCAGCGCCGGTAAGCGTGATTGCTCCTTACCCCTAAAGGGCCTGCGTTCAATCGCAGTCGACGCCTGCCTCCCTTGCGTCGATAGCATTGGTACTCAGTACGGAAAACAAGATCGGCGGAAAACAAATTAAAGAAAAAAAAATCTGGACATCTCTGAATGTTTCTACGCGTACATGAAGTTTTCTAAAAAATTTTAATGCTCCGGAAATTTTCTGGTTATATATATTCATAATTCCTGATGCTTCTGAAGTTTTCGGATCAATCATATCGGAGTTATCGGAATATCTCATAATTTCACGGAACTCCTTATAAACCGCTGAACATTTCCTTAAGTTAATGGAATTGTTCTGAAGTTTTAGGATCGTCCTCGAAGTAACTTCACTGAATATCATGAAACTATCAAAAATATCTACGTGTCCATGAAATTGTCTGCATTTTTTTGAAGATATCGGTGCTTGCTAATAGTTCACGCATTTTTTTTAATTAATAGAACTTTGTTGATGTTCTATAATAAACTTACGCAATTTTTATAAGTTCTTGAAGTTTTCATCATATAGCACCCTTAAAATACGCTCAAATTTTCCGGATGTTCATATAATTTTAATTGCGTTCTGGAAATTCTCGCCGAGTTTCGCTGAAGTATCCTGAAATTTCCTGAGTTTCTTGAAACTTCTCTAAGGCTCTTGCAATTTCCTCGAAATTATTTGGTCTTGAACTTGGAGCTTCCCTAAAGCTTTCAATTCTATTGAAGGTCTCGGTTCTGCTGTGAAATAAATGGAATTCTCGTAAACACCTTTAAATTCAGAGAAATATGAATTTTCTGAAATAGTTCTGAGTTTTCATAAATTCTCTGAAGGTACATTCCTGAAATTCTCAGCGCTTCTTAAGGGTTTTGGATTTTTTTTTGCAGCATATCATGGACTTATCCTGAATTTTTTCTAAACTAAGGCTTAAGGATCTTTAAACTGTTCCAAAGCCTGAACTAAAGTAACGAGAACTGCCCTTAAGATCCCTGACATTCTCCAAAGATATATAAATCTAGGTTAGGTTGTCTTTATTAGAGAGGCTTTCGCCTCCGGATTTCATAATCTAGTTTTTTGGTAGGCAATAGATGTTTTTCGAATATATTTTTTTAAACAAGGATCCTATAGTCAATTTGTTTGTAATATGTTGAACGGAAATTATTGCATTTGCACACTTTTTTTTTTGACTTGTAACAGTATTTTGTTTTGGGGCTACTTTGATAACACTCGATGAATGTAGAAAAACATGCGTGAATCTCAAAAAATTTTGATCAAGAAATATGAAACTTTGAATGAGTATATAATCAGAAATGTCGTAAGAAATAAGAAGGCAACATTTAATTTGAACATTTCCTAAGTGATTGTTTGAGTGTCTTTTCAATCAGGCGAAAAACAAGGAGAATGTTTTCATCAAATGTTTGGAAAATATGAAAAGATACTATAAAAAAACTCTCTACGATATAACAGGTAATACTCTAAGTTGAAAAATGAAACCAATGTTTCCAATTCGGAAATAGCGCAGAGAGTAAATTTACTCGTTATATTCTACTATCAAGATTACATGCATTATCAAAGAAACCCCGATTTACGGTACTTGGAACTTCTTAAAATTTTCCTCAAGTTCTCTATATTTTTGAATTTCTCTTGATACTGGGAAAGTTCTCTGAAATTCTAGCAATTTCTTAAAAGTTCCTGCAGTTTTCGGAACCTAATGGAACCGCTTTGAGGTTCTTAAAGCTTCCAGTAAGTTACTCATATTTTCAGGATTACAACTTCCCTTATGTTCCCGCAGTTTTTTTTTTCGAATTAGATCTTTAGTCTTTCATAAAGTTAATTACCAGTGGCGTACCATAACCTCACTTTTTACCTGTGCACCAACTTCAAAACCAGATTTAATGCCATATTCATACTCGAATCGGTTGAAAAATACACTTAATCTTCTAGTTTACTCAATATCTATCCATTGCAAGCAATATTTTGATAATTGTTTATGTTTTGAGAGTTGGTGCACAGGTTGAAACGTTAACTGTTAATTACAAACTTGAAGTGAATTATTTTTTCCTTTATTCTGGTACTTTGACTCAATATCTTATACTTTTATATGGAATACGAGACTTCAAGACATTTAATATTTTAAGATCTTAGACTTACTAAAATAAAGTAAGTGTTAAACTTCAACATTTAATCGATTTGATTGTAAAGCTGTCTTTAAAAGGTTTTTGGTAATTGCTGTTGTTGTTTTACCAAATAAAAAAAAGCGTCTTTTAACGCAATTGAAACATTAACTTTCTTGTTATAGACTCGGAAATTATCGGTTAAAGCTTGGAACACTCAGGAAATTTAATTTATTCAAATTAATATGCACCCTGTAGATAGAGAAAGACGATTAAACGTTAAAAAGCTCTGTAGAAGCACAACAGATTCGAATTGTTCGAACATTAGAGCAAAATGTAGGCATCGGTTGGACTATCCGATCCTACACACTAAAGAATGATCAATCTTGAAATAAATTCAGGCTAAAAAGGTCCAGAATAGTAACCGACTACATGAAAAAGTGACTTTGTCTTGGTCTTAAAAAAAGGAGACTTTTTAGTCACTGGCTTGGAAAAAGTGACTCGGTCATTTGAAGCGACTCACTACCAGCCCTGCAACATAAAGAATAAACGTTGTAATTGAAAACAAATAATTATTTCCACATTAAGTAAAACCAGAAAGCTACCACACCACTCTTATTAATTCTGGCTAGCTACTACTTTGATGAAATCCAACTCATTGAACAAAATATACGTTCACGCTTGACTTAATAATCACCATGCTTCTCCGTGTAGGTCATTATAAAAAAAAAACGTGATGTTTTAGCCCCTTGGGGTAACGAGGGGCAACACGGGACCCATAGTTTTTAAAAGCAGAGATGATTTCCCACTTTTAGCTTTCGAACTGTTTCAATAGATTCTACAGTATGCATTTACAAACGTATAATGCATTTTCTTAACGATACATCCAAGGTTGCAAAGACTCATTTCAGCTTAAACAATGTTTTTCTAAATTATGAAATAATTAGATGCCATGATCAAATTTTGAATTGGTAGGATACAAGAAGAGGTTGCAAAGAATGTGTTTGACATATTAAACCTGTTTATTTCACTTCATGAGAGTCACAATCAGCGATTTTTCACAAACTCACTCACTCACTCACTCACTCACTCAGCGATCAGCAAATCGCTGATTGTGACTCATAGAAAGCAAAATTTACAGGTTTTATGTTTCCAACGCATACTTTGTAACCTCTTCTTGTAAGTTACAAGTAAAACATGCCATCATACCATCTTTTGGTTTTATTATTCCGAAAAACATTATTTTAGCTGAAATGAGTCTTTGCAACCTTGGATACATCATTAATTTTTTTGTCAACCAGTTTTTTATTCCCCTTCAAATTGAAACTTGTTGTGCAGGAATCAGATCGAAATTGGAAGAGTAACAAGTATTTTAGGTGAGCCTTAAATGTTTGGTTTTCGTAGATACAAATCACCATAATCAGCTGACTTAGCAACGTTCTCAGTGTTGTCAAAAATCAAAATATTACCCAACAATTACGACATTTTGAGAAATCGTTATTCAATGTGTGAGCAAGCTAGAAAAAGTATAAAATAACAACAATACAAACTTTGTTTCGTTGGCTTTGTCCGGTCTCCGGCCACTGTGCCTCAGTCTGTAACAACCGTCGCGACCCTTGGATTGAGAAACGCTGTTTAAGAGATATTTATGGTATGAATTCTTCCACAACTCTGATTTCCTACTGCATTGAACATACAATAAATTATTTTATGGCTTCAAATTTTATACGTAAATCTCATATTTTCATTATTTTAACCACAACGTGATATAGGTGAGACACTATAAGAAAATATTCCCTACATCGGTTAAAAATCTGTTTCTTGAAAATTACTATTACTATAATTCTTACTCAATTCTGATTTTACGCATATTTGTCACACAATCTAACACCCCCCTCCTCTCTTTACTTAAACCGTGTCATAATATATACATCATCTCTAAATGAAAAGCACCCAAAATCAGAATTGAATACTTGGTGTGGAGTACTCTCTTACCTCAGGCGCACATGTAATCAACTTATCTTCTTCAATCACTAAACTGCTATCGCACTTCACTGAAATAACAAATTTCTCTTAAAGCTTCTTCATTGACTGGTGATTTCCAACATCTCCTTTTTCCGCCTTATATTTTATCCCAATCCGGTTCCATAAAAACAACGCGTAACTACTTTCTCTCCGAGCGCTGAATCAAGCTTCGGAACAGAAATTCTCCACCATTCTTTTATTCTGCCCAATGCAACTTTCCACACAATCGATCCCGATCTATCGCCGTTGGTTTTTGTTTTGAATGCCCGTGGTGAATCTATCTAGTGATCGCCGCACTGATCCGAGGCCGAAAACAAACTAATCCGACGCGATCGCGATACCAGCTTCTTTCTAGCCGCAGCGTTCTCTTCTCGATTCTCGTTTGGTCGCGAGACAACTGACGCACACTACGCTGCACTAACCCCGGAGAAATGCTAGCACCAGCAACCAACTGTAGACTAATGCCACTAACGTTCGCGACTTAACTAAAGCTGTTTACGGTAATTTCATGTTTTTTGGTCCGTCCGTCTGTCTGTCTGTATCCAAACACATCACCGTCGTCGTCGCCGTCTTCCGCACCTTTGCCGAACCAGCTGATTTGGTTCGTTCGTTCACTTCGGGTGGTGCACAGTGATCGAGAGAAGGAAGAACTGATGGTAAAAAAGTTCTAGCTGTACTTTTATGTACCCAAGAATGGCAGCGATGAGATACATGCTTTACAATCAATCTTCCACGCATATCAATAAATGAATCGGAAACAATCAATTTACAATTATTTCAACAATACCGTCATCGAGTTCAACAAAAACCCACAGTGCAAATCGCGGCGATCCCGCTGTTTCGTTGTCGTCTGCACACAACCTTTCTTTGGTTCGCTCACGTCGGTCTCTTCTTAAGCCGGTTGCGAGCGCGAACACGAAAGAGAGAGAGAGAGATACCAAGTGAGACCCCCTCAGGTGAGCGACCCTGCTCCAACGAACGGAACCTACCGGTGAGGGGGATTCGTTCATCGCGTGCGCAAGCAATGCACTCCATGACGATCAGCGGGAGATGCTGCTGCTGTTGTTGTGTTGATGTTGTCGATCGATTGTGAACCGGCTTTTGTTTGTGCTACATTCTATACCTACATTCTTCCTATCTCCTCTATGCTGCATTGTTGGTACGTCGGAGCAGAGAGAGAGAGAGATCCCGATTTTACCACCTACCTACCCACTTCTGATCACACCACCCGCACCCAGCTCAGAGAAGAGTGCGGCAAGCAGTTCAAATACATAAGTAAGTAGGAATACCGGTCGGTGCTGGTGTCGAGATTGCACTCAACTGACTGGTGGCACGTGGCTCTCACCCCCTTTCACTCACATCGCCAGCTGACGAACGCAAGGCTCGTTGAGCTGAGCGGGTAAATGGATCCGGCTTCGGATGAGAGTGAATGGTAAAAAGGGGGATCATCTTCCCGTTTCGCGATGCGTTTGCCAGTTGAGTGAGTGTGCGTGTGGAAAGGGTGAATCATCGAATGCAGGTCAAATGCATCGCGAATTGTAATTGACTTACCTTGGGCAGCGGGCAAATTAGTGTCGATTATTAGAGTTAAGTGTAGCTTTGAGAAGGTTTGGACTATTTGACTTTTCCTTTCCACTCTTATAGCGGTAAGCTCCAACTCGGATTAACTTTTAATACCGTCCCTGTGTGTATAATCTGCAAAATGTTTGCTTAGAGTCGTGTTGATTAACTCTGATGTCGACATCAAACCAGCCGGACATCCTTGATCTGGATTTAATCCGAAAGTTAGATCTTTAATTATACAATCCTGCCATTATCTTGTGGCACCCATGAGTATTTCAAAACTCAACTATTGGAAGAAATAAGATTGTGACAGTGAAAAGGCACTTTGCGTACCCACGGCTAAACCCCTTACCAAAAAACTCACATATGGAGCCTCCTGGCAATGGACGCATCTACATATATTTTGCAGCATAGAAAACAGCACAAGAGAAGACAATAAAATCAATTAAAAATGGACATATGCTGCCACAAAAGAATAGAATACAAAACTCGATTGATGGATTGATTTATTTTCTTTTACTTAGGTGATTTTCAACCGATTTTCTACCAAAGCAGCTGTTTCAAAACGTGATTTCATATGATACAGTCATATTTGTATCGGGAAGGAATAATGCAAAATTGAAGAATTTAAGTTGAAATATGAGTTACTTGAGTGCCTATTGCCTATTGCTTATTAAGATCTAGAAAAAAAATCGTGACATATAAGAAACCAATGACCATTTATAAGGCTGCTGAAGGAATATCAACGATAAGTTAAATAAAAAAAACTACTGATAGACATTATGTTATGATTCAAAAATTAAAAGCAGTTTTGGGACCAACGGCTTTACTTCCCGGGGACCAACGGCATGATCAGAGATGTTATGCCTCAGAACATCCCGGTGGCGCCGACTGGGATTGAATCCAGGCCTGCTGGGGTGAGAGGTAATCACGCTATACCCAACGGCTGTGTCTAATATGATCCTGGCTCTTGACATAACCACAATTGAACTTTTTTTAATTTCTCATGTGATGACGGGTTTTGGTCCAAGTCAGAAACTAGCCACTTCCTGTGAACAATTTGATCCTGGATGCTCAATATGACCACATCAATTGATTTTCTTTTTGAATTCACATGTGGTTTGTGGAATCACGATTCAGGCCAATTATAGAGTCACGGGTCCTATTCACCGAAACATGTTCAGCCATATCTCCTGAACCAGTTGACCGATTCCAAAAATATAGGGCCACAATACCTTCAATTTGGCAGTTGTTGCGTCCAATTCGGTTCAATTGTTGCTGAGAAACACGACTTAATTTATTTCGTTCTAGTGTTAATAACGTGTGCCCTTTACAGCAAGAATAAATATATGAAATGGCAGATTTTTCATGTAAACTTTTTGACAATTTTAAAACATGTAAATTAACAGAAAAAAGCATAAATCTATAAAATTTAACAAGAAATTTACATTTACCTGATACACATGATCATCAGGTAAGTTTACGTTACTTGCATGCAAACTTACATAGCAAGCTTTTAAATTTACATATTAGAATTGTAATTGTAATTGTAAAATTAGATTTACAATTTCATACATGGTCCATTTTTTATCGCTTGTAGCAGATTATGTTACATGTAATTTTCATTATTTTACAGTACTTATTGTAAGATGCTCTAATAATATCAAATGGTGTAGAAAGTACGGGAATGTATTTTTGCTTTTTTTCTGTAAGGCTTGTACTCGAAAAAAATGCAGCATTTTTATCCGTGTGTAACTTTTTTATCCGTGGGTAAAAATCTGGGTATAACTAGTTTGGAGTGAATTGTTTACATGTGCAAAATTTCATAACAATCGGTTCAGTGGTTATTGAGATGTCATCGAAACAAGAAGAAAATCGCCGGAGAATTTTGCGCGCCGTCATGTAAATCCGACTGCGACCATGAGATGAATCGGAAGATACCGGTGCTGGAGTTCTACGTTGCCAAATCACGGTTTGATGTTCCGAAAGACATAAGGAAGAAGAAAGTGGACAAATTCGCCAAAAAATACTTGCTCTAGCAGGCCATATGCCAATGCGGTAAACTGAGTAAATCGTACATCACAATGGGTACCATCAACAGTGAAATTTACCGCACCGAGTGCCTCCAGAAGCGTCTGTTGCCCTTCCTGCGGTCCTACGGAGGCGAGACATTATTTTGGCCGGACCTGGCATCATGCCATTACGCGCGATGAGAGAAGGAAGTCACCATCTTATTGTTCACTTAATTGTATTTTTATTGTATTGTATTACTCATCGAAATTAAAACTTAGCAGATGTGGCACAGGAAGCAACAACAATACTTAATATTATATGCATATAATTATTATACAGGTACCCTTATTAGGCTAGATGCTACCAACGACCAATGATTTATAAATAACAAAACTTGTTTATTTTTTATAGTTTTGTATTTCACTACATATATTATATAAATTATATGTACATTGCATGATATACTATTACTATTAGTTCAATATTTCAGTTTACCCAAGCAAGTCATCGAAATTCATATGATGCTGATGAAACAGAGAAAATAAAAATATTAAATAATATTATTTGTACATAATTATTAAGCAGGTTATTTCTCGTCACGTTAGTTATTTATCACAATTTTGAGCATTATTGTTAGTATCATTCGAGCAAAATATATTTAATTGCTTAATATATCCTATACATTTCAGTGTTGCATCCACTTGCCCTTGTGAGCTGAGGAGGTATAGAGCTGTATCTTATTTTATGTAAAATACTTTTTCTTTGCAGTAGCAACTATATTATCCATTATATGTAAATGTATTTCATTATGTCATATTTTAATGTTCTGATATATTTCATTTCTCCATTGCATATATTTTCATTATATAAATAAATACTGGGTTGGAAGGGAGCATCAGGGTATCATTCAAACTGAAACTGGACGATGGTATGATTGACAGCCGGAGTCTAGGAGGGAATAAACACTATCATTTTCTTTATCCTACCGATTCGATTGTGGTGGTGTGAATTCTACTCCAACAATTTCAGGGCGATTGACGCGCCCTTCTTAACAAACTATCCAGTAGAAAGCTTAATAAGTATTGCGAATTGTGTTATTCGATTTGTTGGAGCGTATCGTTGGAAGGAGATTCTTAAATTCCCGTGGATTTCGCGTAAGTGTCTCTGCTTACGGGTCCGCCCTTCCGTTTTTGGCCCTTCATACAGCGATATTGTGAATTCAGATCGGTAGCTCAAATTGATCTTGCTATTAAGTGGAGCTGCATACAAGACAAGTCTTGAAGGGATGGTGGCTACCTTACATACATACATACATACCTGGCATCATGCCATTACGCGCGATCGACGTTGGATTGGTACAGAGACAATAATTTTTTTTTTCCTTTGGTTTGTTTTTTTTTCCGTCGATCTTGTTTTCCGTGCTGAGCACCAATGCTACCGACGTGCCAGGAAGGCAGCTCTCCCACACCTGGACCCTACCTATCGATCCATCAACTCATGAACCGGGGACCAACGGCTTTACTTCCCATCCGAAGGAAGGCGTGATCAGAGATGTTATGCCTCAGAACATCCCGACGGCGCCGACTGGGATTGAACCCAGGCCTGCTGGGGTGAGAGGTAATCACGCTTACCACTACACCACCGGCGCCGTTAGAGACAATAACGTTGTTTTTGTACCAAAAACCGCCATCCACGCAGTTTGGCATTGTACGGATAATGACGCAGCCAGAGAGTGACTTTTGAA